TTGAAAACAACAGTAAAATGGTGGTTACCAGAAGCTGGGGCAGTGGGGGCTTGGGGAACAGGAAGGATTTTGTTTAAGGCTACAAATTTGCAAGAGATCTAATGCACAATATAGTGATTATAGACAACAGTATCGTATTATAAACACTGAACTTGCTAAGAGACTAGATCTTACCTCTTCCCACCACAAAAAAGAAATAATAATTATGTGACATGATAGAGGTGCATTATAAATTACTAAGTAGAATCTAGTTACTCATGAAAAGCATTTACCAATTAAATCTAATTAATAAAAATATACACCAAAATATTGACAGTGTTATCTCTGGGTATTAGGATCATAGGTCTTTTTAAATGTTCTTTTCTGTAATGTTCAAATTTTCTACCATGCATAGGGATTATTTCTATAATTAGGTAAAACTAAATATTTGCTACTAAAAACCTTGAATAACCCAATTTCTTTTTACCACTAGGAGTGTTAGGTTTTTAGTTTGATTAAATTTCAACCAAAGGTCATGAGCAAAAACTTTTGAATCCATGTTAAATTAAACACGTCTCATAGTTTACATGTTGCTGAGATGTTAAAGGGTCAGAGAGAGAAGTGCAGGGAAGCCAGAAAGCATATACATCGTTTAACGCCTAGGAAGATCTGATGTAAAATCAAATTGGAGGCAGCGTGATACCATCTGTAGACATTTAAGTAGAGAAGACAGAGGAGTCTGCCTCCTCAAGGTAAACAAACCATGGCCAGAAAATAAGCAAAAAGAGAGACCAAGCTCTTTGTAGATTTAGAGACCCACTTCACGCCAGTCTGCAAGGAAATTCTATGAAAAGAGCTAGATGTATGCACAGCTCCCCCTTGTTAAGAGAGGTTTTCAAGACTGTACCTTCGCCCCAAGAAAGAGCCAAGAGCTTCAACTAGACCTACAGGGCATTTGCTTAGTCTTCATCATCTGGGAACTGACTTACGGACCTTACGGAGGACGCATACGTGGGTATGGGCAATTCCAAGACTTGGTAATCTACTTCTCTGTTATTAAATGTGTACATAAATATTCCACATGGTTGTGTTTCTTAATGTTTAATGTTTTAAAAAGAACTTTCCCAGTATAGGAAATCAGCATCCCTGTTTGCCCCCATTACTTCAGAAACTTGCTCTCTTGCTCTGATGAATACTGTCTCTCCATTTGACAAAAGGCAAATGAATATGGAAAATTGGACAATATATTAAAAATCAGATATTGTCCATTCATCTTAAAAACAGAGAACCATGTAATTATAAAATGTTAGCATGGTTATGACGGCCATTTGGAAATGTATTAGTCACCTGAAACTTTACATGATAACGACTGATAAAAAAAAATATTACCAGGCTTCCCTGGTGGTGCAGTGGTTGAGAGTCTGCCTGCCGATGCAGGGGACAGGGGTTCGTGCCCCGGTCCGGGAAGATCCCACATGCAGCGGAGCAGCTGGGCCCATGAGCCATGGCCGCTGAGCCTGCACGTCCAGAGCCTGTGCTCCGCAACGGGAGAGGCCACAACAGTGAGAGGCCAGCGTATCACAAAAAAAAAATAAAAAATACCATTTTAGTGAGAACTAGGAACATTTTTCTATGCTTGAATTAGCTCTTTAATTAGAAGAAAAATCTTATTCATGTCAATGCTTCCACTGGTTTACAATGATCTGGATAACTGCTCAGCAGAAAACATTAAATTCTGGATGCTTCCTGCAAAGGTGAAATTGAAATTACTCTGGAATGTGATACAATGTATGGCAAGGAGAACTGTGTTTTATCTGATCTTCTCATTCAAAACAAGAGAAACTGATTTGTTTTCACATTCAGTTGAACAATTGATTGCAAGTAAGAACGGTCTTTGCTTTGCCTGCGACTGGCTATCCTACCTAGTTAATGAGGATCTCATTCAACGCTACTCACTTTCCTACTCAAACTGGCACACAAAACATGCTCCTGAGCCAGGCAAGAGAAATAGTATGGCTGAGCATAAACTAGTAGGAAAAAGTAAAGACAACACCAAAGGGTGGCTTGGCATGGCCTTCTATAATCTCCAGTTTCTTCAAAACCACCCCAACAAACATAGAAGAAAAGTCAAAACAATGGCCTTCCTATGCAAATGCAGATTTAAGACAAGTTCCCAAGATCCCCTTCTTTCCAATCAAATTGTCATCACTCCTCAGGCTATACTACTCTCTAGATATTCTGCTGTGGCCTCTGGGGAAAGCTCAGATTGTTCATTAGTGAGCACCATTGTATTCACCCGGAGAAATGACCATGTGGCAGAGAAGAAAGGAACAAACATGTGTACGAACCAACCCGTATTTACACCTTGTGCTTTCACATAGGGTTGTTAAAGACTAACACCTCCCAGCTATACTCCACCCCTGACATTTCCCCTCTTTTCAAAAGAGCATATTTCCCTCCTTCTTGAATATTGACATTTGGACGTATAATAGTCTTAGGTTGAATTGCTTCCAGGCAGATGCTGCAAAATCTTGGCGTGGGTACTTTATTTGGAGAGGAAGCAGGGAGGTGATTGTAGGAAGTTAGGGGTTGGGGAAGTAGGGCAGGGAGAGACGAGAATCAGTGAAGTGTGCATTAATGAGCAGGTGACCACTGTGAGCACATGGAACTCAACCTTCTTGGGGACCCCTTTGAATGACCGTACACACACGTCTAGGGCTCATCCCACTGAGGCATGTGAAACGTGGGGCATGTAAGCATACTCTGGTCTTTCAATGTCTGAGGATTGCCCTCTGGGCAGCCCACACCCAGTCTAGCAAGCTCCTTTGAACAGAGAAAGTACCCAGCTGCCCAAATGAGAAGTCTACTGAGCACACAGGATCTGCCCGCCACAGGGGCAGGTAGCAACTGGGGTAAGTCTAGGGGAAATGGGGCGGGGCCTGAAACCTCTGCCACAAATAGGCCGCTCAGACTTAAGGTGCCACGCTGAATTTTAGGTTCATGTTCCAGCACCCTACCACTAAATCTACGTTTCCCTCGTCTTTCCTCAACTCAGCAAATGAAAACACAAGTTTTTAATATTTTCAGACCCAAAGCCTTGAATCATCTTTGACTCATTTCTGTTTCTCTTTTTCTCATGTGAAAATCCATCATCACATACTGTCAGCTCTGTTTTCAAATTGGAGCCAGAATCTGGTCACTCTTCACCACTTCCACTGTCACCACCCTGGTCCAGGTCACCATTGTTTCTTGCCCAGACTACTGAAGTGGCTTCGTAACCATTTTTACTGTTTCCGGCCTCATTCCAAGTCTATTCTTCTCAGAATACTCAGAGTGATCCTTTGCACATGTACGTCCCTTCTGTGCTCAAAACCCTCTTCTAGTTTCCCACTTCAAAATCCAAACTCCTTACCATGGCTTACAAAAGCCCTTTACTATCTCCTGACCATTTTTCCTTCTCTTCTCCCCTTTGCTTACTTGGTTTGACCCATACTGGTCTTTTTCCTGTTCTTTTAACACAGCGTGCCTGCTCCTGCCTCAGGACCTTTGCACTTTGCTGTTTCCTCTTCCGGAAATGCTCTTGCTTCAGACATTGGCACAGTCCTTTCACTGTGTTAAGATCCAAATGTCAGTTTAATAGACAGGGCTACTTATTCTGACTATATCTAAAATAGCACTGCCGTCACTCTATTTCTTTCCTCTGCATTAGTTTTCTTCATAGAACTTATCATCATGACATACTGTATATTTTGTGTTTGTGTATTTTACATTGTCTATCTCCCCCCCACGCACAAAAATCAAGTTTCATTAGAACAGAGACTCTGCTTTGTTCACTGCTGTTTACCACCAACTAGAATAGGGTCTGTTAGTTGTAGGCATTCAATACATATCTGCTAAGTGGATGAATTCACTGGTCTGCTAGTTATTAATCCAATATTTACTAAACACTGTGACTGGCATTGTCCTGTGACTAATCTGTAAAAGTAGCTGCTGCTCTTCAGAAGCATAATGTATCCAGTGCACAAGGAGACAAGCTGTATCCCGTGCATGGCGAACCACTGGAGTTCAGAGGGGAGATTATTATGAACAGTGGTTGTCAGGAAAAGGTAGGAAGGAAAGGTTTAGACTGGAGTGTGCAAAACTTTGAATGTTTTGTTAGGAGTGGTACCTTTGTTCCATTTAAAAGTGAAAAATCATCAAAAGTTTCTGAACAAGGGAGTAAAGTAATGAAAGCAGAATTTTAGAACAATTGATGCTTGATTCTATTCCACGAGGATTTGAGCAGGGAAGACTGGAGCCAGGGAGACAAATGTCATGAATTTTTCCCCCTCAAATCCTCATTTATCTCAATATCCAAGACATTAGCATATATAATCAATATGGTTCTAAAAAACAGCTTTATTCAGGTATAATTGATATACAAAACCCTGTATATATTTAGTGTATACAATTTGATGAGCTTGGACATACACATACACCTGTAAAACCATCACCATAATAAGGTAAGAAACATATTACTCCCAAAAGTTTCCTTCTGTCTCTCCAGTTTTCGGATTTGTGTGTGTGTGTGTGTGCGTTAATGACACTTAACATGAAAGCTACCCTCTTAACAAAGTTTTAAGTGCATAATACCACATTGTAAACTATAGGCACTATATTATACAGCTGCTCTCTAGAACTCATTCATCTTTCCAACACAGTTTTTAGACAACTGTATTATTCCATGTTTTACATGCTCAATTAGGAATCTCTTTGTCCATGCTGCTTATGTTAACTAACATACTTTAGCTGAGAAAAGGTCTGCCTATGGTTTCTCTGGAATGGAAAGTGAACCTACTACAGGTGTGAAAAACTCAGATTCATTCTCCTCAGGTTATCTGAGAACTAATAAATAAGGTAGTGAAAAAAGATAAGGTTGGATAGAAATGTGCTGTGAGTTAGCTGGTGAGCTATAGGTATGAGTGCGTGGGGATAAACATGTTGAAGGCCTCTGTAGTCACTTTAATTTGTTTCTTTTCTAGGACATAATGCATATTGCAGGCATCCTGTCTCTGGAACTGTGTTGTCAAGAAAAAGAGTGCTATATTCTCAGTGTTCTACTTGGCCGTGAACTTCCTGGGGCCACATAACCCTGGGACAGTAGGAGCTAAATAAATGTATGTTCAGTGAACCCCTCAAACCTCTTAGAAGTCAGGCTCCAGGGACATTTCGTTATTTTGCTCTAAATTCTACTATTCCTTCTTGTCATGAATATTTAATTCTGCCTTGTTCAAGAAAGGACTAAAGGCTTCTCTATTTCCTTTGGTAATTAGTTTAGATAAACTAAGTCATCCATTTCTGCACTACCCAGTGGACAACAGCTAGTGCTTAAATGTTCACAGCTTTATTTGACCTTGATATGTTTGAGAACAATACATAGACATACCATATATATAAAAACCACTATCATTTGAGAATATAAACTAAAGAAGTTCCATATTTAAACTTCAGAATGTCTGACATAACTCTGTGAAAAATTCCAAATGACTGATTCTATCAATTTATGTTACAAGACAATTTGATTCAAAAGTTAAAAATGAAGGGAAAATTATATATAGAGAAAATTAAGTCCTAAGGGTTGTTTGATGGCATTAGGCAGTCTCAATTACACCTTTTCACTCAGGTCATCAAATTATTTGCCAGGTAAACATGTAGATATGGTTCTCAATCTCCTAGGTACTAGGGATTAAAAGCTCCAAGGAAATTTACAAAATCCACAGTGAATGAAGAAAGTAGTAATTCCATGTAGCTCAACCTGTGTGCCTATGCTCATGCTATATTCACCCTTTCCAGTATTACTCACTATAGTCACAAATGTTACAACCAGCTATCTTTTTATAAAGTAAAAAAAGATAAAACTACAATTTTAGTAAATAATTCATCCTACTAGAAATGTCTCGAGGAAAAGCTCAACTGACACTAGCGACAATATTTTGCTTTGTTCCATATGATTGTGGTATTTTTGCCAATATTATTTATGGGATTTCCTTTGATATTCTACGCAGAGTCATTTCCCAGGAATTCTGTCCTCAAGGCAAAGTCCAATTTAGCATCCTTCAGTCTCCCGCATTTCTTTCTCTAGCCCCTCTCCATACACACTCTGAAGTTCATTAACAAGGAAAGGCCAGGGCACCAGACAGATTGTGAAGGGAGGAAGAATGATTCCAAGAGGTGTGTGTGTGTGTGTGCGCGCGTGCATGTGTGTGCACGCGCACGCAAGCCTGTTGCAAACGTCCTGATTTACCACAGTCTAGGGAGCTTACAGGGGGGTTTTGTGCTAAAACTCAGCACGCCATGCCTTTCCAGAAGGCTCTTGCTTCACTGGTCTTCTTTCCCCTGCCTCTGCACCCCTCTTACTACTCAACCACATCACAGAAGTCTATCCTGCAGGCCTAAAAAGGTGACTCTGTTGGTGTGTCTGCCTAACAATCAATAATTCATTTAAATGGATTTTCTGATGCATAAAATAATAGACTTTTCTTATAACCCTGCTGACTTTTACCAGCATTAACCTAAAAATCACACCTAAAAAAAGTGTTGTGAGAATGCTGAAATAGTTTTCTGTTTGAGTAACATTTATTTTTCATGACTATATAAATGATGAATATTCCTTATAGAAAAGTTGGAAAATGCAGAAAAGGAAAAGGGAAAAAAGAAAGAGCAAGTACACAAGAGGTAATGATTGTAAGTCTTGTGGCTCATTTTTTCCTTATTTTTATATGTATATACATATCTCTATATAGGCATCTAATTTTAACATTCAGTTGAGATTTTAGTGTATAAGATTTTGGATTCTGCTTTGCCTTTAATGTTATACCATGAGCAATTTCCCATATCCTAAAGTTATTTGAAAATATTTTTAATGGTTGATAAGATTCTTCTGTCTAATATGAAAATTTATTTAAACATTAGTTTATGTGGCAGAGTTAGAGTATATGTAGGTTTTCAACATTGTAAGTACTTTCGTGGTGAATATCTTTGAACATAAATCTTTTTAATATCTCAGATTACTTTCCTAATCCAAATACCTACAGGTAGAATTACTAGATTAAAGGGTAGGAGTATTTTTGAGGCTTGAGGCTCCTAATGATTTTTAATCATTTTTATGAAATAAAACCCTCAAATGAGTTCAAAAATCGAAGTAAAACTATATATGCATTATTTTATTATGACTTTTCTAAGGATTAGTAAAACAAAAGATAATTGAAAATAACTTGTTATTTACTACAAAGAGACTCTCACCACATGAAAATTAGTCAGAACCTAGAGCAATCAAAAAATGATTCTTCTCTTATAAGACGGAAAAAATTCTGCCCTATAAATCCTTAATTTGGGCCACATTTTATGAAAAAGCAAGCAAGCAAAAAAAAAAAAAAAGACATATGGCTATTACTATAGCAACACAGTTGGTCAACTACTTCAAGTTCTTGTGGCTGGCGAGGTTACTGGAACTGCAGGCCCACATCCCTGACAAATTAAGTACATTGAGGTCACAGCACTTGACTTGAGACAGTGTTTCATAATTGTAGAGTTCTGTTTAGAAAAGGTCCCTGACTTAAAAATATCCTTTTGTGCCCTCTAGTGTTTAAATTCATCCAACCTTTTGAGAAGTTTATAACATTTCTAAACTAGAGCTGAATACCATTTCATTCTTACTTATACCAGGGTTTCTCTACAGCAAAAGGTGGCCAACATATACACTGTTCCAAAAATTTTAAAGATTACTTAAAATTCTTCATTTAATTTCACTTCAAACCTACCACAGGGCAAATCCCACCCACCACCTGTTTTTGTAAATAAAGCATTATGGGAATATACCATGCTCATTCATTACATTTTGTCTATGGGTAGCTACGTTTGTTCTACAAGGCAGAGTTGTACCACAGAGACCTTATGTCCTACAAAGTCTAAAATATTTACTACCTACCTCTTCACAGAAAAACTTTACTGATTTATCCTTGGGTTAAAGAATCTCTCTGATACTTAGATTGGAAGAGGAAAAAAATACATGTATTTTCCTAACGATATCATGACATTTTACAATGTCCTTTAATTCCATTCCTTTCCATCAAACAATGGAATACTAGTTCAAACAAAGAGTAGTAGCCATGTCAATTAGCTTTGTGGTTCAAATACCAAATTTGTATTTTCTCAGTGAAAACGTTTACACGCCTACTCAGGGTGATAATATTGACTCCTTCTTGATGACTTTGGTATTGATATGATTATATCAGTGAGAATAAAACAAGATTAAAGTTCTTTACCCACCAAGACCAAGGGCCCAAGAACTCTCTTGCCTCCTGAGCTACATCATCTTTTATTGATTAGGTAGAACTCAGACTAGCAAGTTCTCTATTTTTATACATTTAATAAATACTAAAGCTTGCAATTGCTTTTACAAACTCATACAGTCTTTCTAGAATAAAGTAAACATATCATTTATAATTAACATGGAGCTTCTTTCAGTTTCAAGCTTGATTCAAATCTCAATCACTTCTTTCATATATGAATGAAAGTATAATGTACAATAATAAGGCCATAGTCCTATGTGGGCAACTTAACAGGCTACCTTCCTTCCCTAGGACAAATCCCACTTCTTCCTACGCCCCTCTGATATTTTATCTTCTCATTTGTGTATCTAGAAGATTTACTGAAACTTCCTTCTTCTTATCGGAAATGGTTAATTGTAGTTCATTAGAGTTTTTCTTTTTTATTTTCCATATGGTTTTCAGGGAGTGGACCTATTTTACTGTTTTCTAACTTAAAAGTTGACTTCTGATTCGCAATGGTTATAGCCATTCCTTTTACAAAGATATACATCAACAATACCCTGGCCAGAAATTTTGTACAATAACAGAAGAAAACACAACACCACAGGTTTGGAAAAGTGAATGAAAACAGTCTCTGGTTGATTACCTCTGCTAATGAAAAGGCATCTTATTTTTGTGATACGCATTCATGGTCGTCGTAGATTACACACCTGGAACTGAAGTTTGCTGCCCTTCTCAGCCTTACAGTTTCTCACTGATTTCATATTATCTACTCTTCTTATATTTCCCTCACCCTCCTACTACAGTCTCCATCCTTGTATCTGACACAGGAATCATTTAAACACAAACCCAAATACAAACCCTGCATAGACTTACTTTATGGAATCACATACTGAAAACTCTGAATCAAAGAAACCTGCAATGTTACCTTTCAAATACTGGCAACAACAGCAGCAACAAAATGCATGGTGAAACGTATCATCTGTCATGCCCAATGTTAAAAGCAATTAAAATTTTAAAAAAGTGACACCATACCTCTATTCCATAAGCAAAATAAATTATTTCCAAACTTACCTGCAAGAGAAAAGAAAAAGATCAGTAAATCTCAAATCAGAGTGCATTTTAGTTCTTCTTTCTTCAGTAAATTAGACAAAATTGTCATCATAAGCATAGCTAATCCTTAATTATCACTGTGTGGATTATTCTCTGTAAATAATGCTTTCTAGTTCCTGTAGATGCCAGTAGGGCTGGCAGTGAGATTCTCTAAAGGCCAATTCTCTCTATGAATAGAGTCCTTTTTCATATATAATCTGAACCTAGTAGATGAGTTTTAGACCAAAAACTTAAATGATTCCCTGGACCCTGGAAATCTGTAAATTAAAAATCATATTTTGGGGAGTAAAATATAAACAATGGGGAAGATATTGGCTTGACAGTTTTGAAGAAAAACATTTTTTTTCATTGCAGGACTTCTAAGAGCTTTGGATATAATAATTGGAATGAGGCTATTCTAGAAGGTGGAGAACTTTTGCAGAAAAATTAAACCATTCCCCATGGACATCAGTTAATATCAGAGTAAGTCATCTTTTAGAATACTACTTGGGAATTGCTGCACAAGGCTTCTTAAACTGAGTTTTATATGAATCATAGTGTTTCTGTTACTCCTAAAGAATTGTTTTAACTTAACTGGAGAGGTAAAATGAATTGCTAATCACTTGAAAAACAGTATGACTGTCCTGAGGAACAAAACACAGTAGCTCACTTTCAGGTGAGTGCTTTTATCTATTAGATCAAATTGCCTGCTAAATTAAAATTAGTTATAATATTTGAATTATGATCATTCAATGTAAAATTTCCTTGCCCAGAATATTCTACACTGTAAGTCAGTTTCTCACCATCCTGAAATTTGTTCAAGAAATCCCTGTGTATTTTTAAATCTATCTTTGTATTTCTAGTTTAGCTTGGGCCAAAATGTTCTCTGTGCAGCACCAAACCCATTAGATACTCTGAAAATAAAGAAACAAAAAAGTTCCATATTTAATAAAGTTTGGAATATTCTGCATATGGTACCTCTTTCCTGGAGATTTAAAATATTTATTTAGTCTGTTAAAGACTTGAGGAGTCTTACAGTTATACATCAGTTTAATTTTGTGAATCACAGCTTATTTGACCATAGAATCGCTTTGCTTGTAGCATCTATTGATATTATATGGAACTAGTATTCCACAGAACTTACTTTGGGACATACTGACTTAGGCTACTAGAGTTCTTAGTAGCAAGAGATGAAGAAAACATAAACTATCATAAGTATTGTATTAAAAGAAAAAAAAAAAGGGCTCCAACGGTCCTGACCAAAAGAGGTGATTTTCGTGAATGCACCTGGTTTCTCAGTGAGACAGGAAGAGGAGACAGAGAACAGTCTGATTGTATGTATATGTGTCGGGTAGCATATGGTTCAGGACCTTTTGCTCAAATGTATCAACCTCATACTGCCAGGACTTCATTTACCCATGAATGTGGGTTCAAGGCTAAGATGTAATTCCAAAATATATCTTTTATTTTAGAGAAAAGAAACATCAAAGATTTTGACGCAACATGAACAACACGACCTAATATTAAAACATTGTCTTTGTTGATGTCAGGAACTTTAAGAAACTAAACACTATAAATATTAAGATTTAGCTGAGAGACACGAACAATATGGCAAAAATATTTCATCATGATTTTATTCAGCTGATGTATGACCATGAGCTTCTGGGGATGGAGAAATAATGGGATCAAATCTTTCTTTTCACCCAAATCTGCTAGACCTTCCTGTGTATTATGTAAAATACAGGATTTTAAAATATGAAGTCCACGAACAGGTTCATGAGTAAACTGCAGGGGAGTTGCTGAAGAACCTGAAATTATCTGCAAAATTGTATGCATATTTGCATTTCTCAAGGGAGCAGAATCACAGATTTAATCAAATTTTCAAAGTACCCTTAAACCTCCAAAAAGTGATAGATCATTTGAGGAGATAATCTCTAAGGATGCTCTTTATCTTCTGATCACAGTTTATGTTTTATGGAAAGTATCGTAAGTCACATTTATGACATTTAGTAATTTCTTTGCTGGGACCTTTATTTTTAGATATTTAAGAAATTTAAAAAACACTGTAAAGACCACAAGTAGTTTATGGGAACTGGTTAAAATATACTTAATTATATAAAGTTTATATATATAAACTCTATTTAAAGATCTTATTTGAGTGAGAAACTGAATTGCCCACAAGATGGCTCTCTATAATCTTGGATATACGAGTTTACCAAACCAGCTTCTTAAAAGCTATTTCTAACATCTTTTCTTGATCTAAAAATCTCATATTCACAATAAATGGTTCTCCAACATTGTTTTATTTCTGTGCTTGAATATCTAGCAATGCCTGACAAAGTGCTAATGTTTTTCTAGTGAATGGATTAATGAACAGATATTGCAGACATTTACAGATTATTTACTACATTATTACCACACTGTTATTTGTCTCCTACATACACAGCCCTGTGCTACGCATGCTGATGAATTTTTTTAAAAAGGAGTTAAAGTTTAAAAAGCAAATAGTGGTTTTTATCCTTCAGGGAAGACAAAATTTCCATACCCAAACACTTCATAGTATATTTACATGAAAAATGATTGGTAGAGACAAATTATAGGTGTACAAAGAAGAGGAGACATCAATGTGGGATTCAATTAGATAAAAGACCTTGTGAGGTTGGTTCGACCTATAAAGAACTGCAAGGTTTGTATGAGAGGAAGGTAAGGGGAAATATTCCAGAAAGGGCAAATATCACAAGAAAAAGCTTGGCATGATGTGGTCATGGCATGCAAGAAAATGGCTTCCCTGCAGTTAAGGCTAGGTGAGTTATAGAGTGTTGAAAGCCATTCCACGGGGAAGGAAAGGTAATTAATGTTTATTGAGGACATAGTATGATTCATGCTGTGATTAAATAATCCCTCTAACTTAATGATATATGCATGTGCCTCTTATTAAAGTATTGGAACTGTGGTGCTATATTTGGATATTTTGAGGGTAGGTGGTTCTTCCCTAAATGTTGTACTAAATCCCAGTATACAATCACCAAAGGAAGAGAAAGGTCCTTGGATAGAAAATCAGAATGAAGGAGGTGAGCTGTAAGCATAAGAGGAGATTAAGCTTCCCTGTCATGCTTCTCTCTCGAGAGAGAAGAATTTATCTTTGTGGTAAGGCCTCTGCTGCCTGGTGTGGAGTGAGAGCCAGAGGGAAGGCTTTTCATAAGGGGCTGCATTTGAGTAAAATAGCTCCTATAATAAGTCAAATTATCTCGTCTCATGCTGTTTTGATTTTACATGTTTCCTTTCGTCAGTAAAGTCTTGTTTAAAAATGTCTACTTTGTCTCAGTTATTGACACCGAAAAACGGAGGGCTTTTTTGTTTTTTCCCCATATTTGGATAAATTGGGTTTAGAGGGGCAGTCTCTGCCTCATTAAAAGATGATGATACTGAAAACAAAAATCACAAAGACCTCAGGGAAAAGGGTTCATCTTAGGAGAAAGAGAGCTGAGGCATGTGGTGTAGCTGTCTCTCTCCAAATTCAGAATTTTCCTCCATTTCAACCTTGAACCCCAAATTTACAAGTCAGACTGTCTACTCAACATCCCCTTATAAACATTTCAATTTAATATGTTCATAACAGAGCTTCTAATCTTCCCTCTCCAAGCCTTATTTTTTTCTGATGTCTTGTCCCATCTCAGTTTTTGGCAACTCCATCCTTCCAGTTGTTCAGCCCAGAACCGTGGTCAACCACCATCATTTCTCATGATGAATGTCCCCCTAGACTCTCTGCTTCTTCCCTTAACCTCCTAAAGTTTATTTGAAATTAGTAGTCAGAGTGATCTTGTTAAAACCTGTTCAAAGCTCCCTGCTGGCTTATTGTTTCACTCAGAATTAAGACCAAAGTCACTAGGAAGGTCCACAAAGGTCTTCAAGAATTGCCACTTATCTGCCCCCACCCTTACCCCCTTTACCCACTTATGTTTCATCTCCAACTTTGTCTCCTCTTGTGCTCCACTTTGCTACTTCACCCCAGCCCTCAGGGCTTCCTGACTCTTCCTCAATCATGGCAGCAAGACTCCTTATTTTCCTTCTGCCTAGGACACTCTCCCCTCATATATCCACCTCCTTCATGTGTGTGCTGAAATTCCATCTTTTCAATAAGATCTTTCCTAACCATCCTACTGAAAATTCCACCACACACACACACACACACACACACTCATTAACTTCTTTCCTGATACATTTTCCTTCATAGCATTGATCACAAAAATCACTCGCTCTCTCCCTCTCTCTTTCTCTCTCTCTATTATTTTCTTATCTTTTCCCCCAACAAGAATATAACCATCAAGAGGGTACAATTTTTGTTCATTGCTGTATCTCCTCCAACACATAGAATAAAGCTTGGAACTCAGTATGCCTACAATAGATATCTACTTAATAAACATTTTTTTAAAGTCTTGGTTTATTTGTTCTCCTGAAAAATCAGAAATTCTGCCAACACTGGCTTGTGCTTTCACATGCAACAACTGTTAGGAGCTTAGACGTAGCTGTGCAGGCAGAGCAGGGTGCACTTTCCCTTGGGTCAGAATCATCACCTGCCTTCTCCAATTGCCTGACCCCCATTGATGGGTGACCTCTGCTGAGAGAGCCCTGAATGGCGAGTGAGAGGATCAAATAAGAACTTTCACCACATCACCTGGGAGTAGTGAGTAGGACGGATGTAACAATACTAGATGCAGACATTCCAGTATCTTTTGTCCAAGTCCAGGTACAAACAACGAGGACTGTGGCAGGTTCACATGCTGAGGAAGCAGAGCTTGAAGGAAGGATTAACAGGACTTAAGAGTGTGTTGGATATTGGAAACGAAGGAAAAGAGTAATGATGACTGATATTTCTATAGTGGTTGATTAAGAGAATGATAATTCCCCATGTTCTAAGAGAACTTGGGAAAGAGTCAACTTAAGAGATCAGAAGACCTACATGTAGAAAGAAATATACTGATCTTGATGAATATAAGCTGAGTTTGAAGACACAGATTCAAAGGTATTCGATAACAAAAAAGGACTTTGAGATCAATGTCACAGATGAGGATTCAATTTGGCATCGTGTTTATATACCACCTATGAAAAGGTACATTATGATGAAGACCATCTCAAGAACAGAATATATAGAACAAGAGATAAAAATAGGGTATAGAAGAGAAGATTCTCAACTATAGGTCAAGTGGTTGGAATGAGATGTGAAGAAAAAACTCCTCTCTCCCCCCATCCGAAGGACACACACCTACTCAAACACGAGTGCACATGATGCAGTGTGTTGAAACTGGCTGCTTCCACACTCCATGTGTGTCCCTTCCCTCTCCATTCTGAATCTAAGATATCTCATTCTAGTGAACACAAGTGATAAACGGCACCATGAATATTTGAATAGGTTCCCTCCTTTTCCTTTCCTGACTTTCTATGTCCAGACCATTTATATACTCTGTGGAAATCTCTGAGTAAAG